AAACCTTGGTGGAGTCCTTGGGGTTCTCTGAGCTTGGCTGTTTTCTTGCCAACGTTTCGTTACCCGGCTAGGAACATCTTCAGTGCTAGTCGGGTAACGAAACATTTGCAAGAAAACAGCCAAGCTCAGAGAACCCCAAGGACTCCACAGTTCAACTCTGAGCTACATATATTCGCTTCTATTGGTAAGACCTTGGTTTTAGAATGTATTACTATGTCTGACAATTCTAACCAAAATGTAAAATCTGACTCTTTCTAGGATGCTTGGGCTCAGTTGTTTTCCACTGAAATGAGAAGTTTCAAAGTTGGAAACTGATTCTGCCTTTATCCACATTTCCTTTTCTCTTCCTCTCTGTTACTGCTGCTTTAAAAGACCTGCTTTTGATGTTATTCATTGTTCAATAGGCTCTCAGTGTAATCAACCTCACAACAGCATTACATTCTTTTCTGTTGTGTTTAATTCTCGCTGTTTTCTCTTTTCTCCAAAAAGGTGCTGTTACACATTAGTCACCCACTGACACCAGGCACTACTGATTTGTGCAACCAGTGAATTGAATATTCCACATTCCAAGCTATGCTCAAAGCCAGCAAAAACTAACCAGCATTATGCAAAATGCAATCTGTTCCACCTGCTTGTGTTACACATCTGCAAAGGCAAGCAGCATTTGGCACTAGGACAGCCTAAGACTTTTTGATACCTTGGAGTAGAAAATGGAAAGAGTAACCCTCTTCTTGCAATGAAAGGAACCTAGTACATTCCAAATGTATTTGGGCTACAACCCTCATAATCACGGCATAGAGGCATGCTTGCTGTGGCTTATGGAATTTGTAGTACTTTAAAGGGAACTACTGATTTGTCTGCTGTGCACTTATTATTCAGAACACCATATATCAGTTAATCAAAAGCAATGTGTAATGCACACAAAATCCATGGGACAACCCAAAAAACTTACACACTACACAAGACTAGATCGAAACATTCTGAATTACCTCCTAGGGCACTGAAAGAACTAATGGAGGTGATTGCAGAACCACTAACTGTAAACTTTGACAACTGGAGAATTAAGAAGACCTCAGAAAACTGTAGGAGAACAAATGTTGTACCTATCTTCAAAAGAGTGAAGGAAGGTTCAGGAAATTACAGAACATCAGTTTGGTGACTATACTAGGTAAGATTCTCAAGCAGATTACAAAATAATGTATTTTGTGAGCACTTAGATAGGAATGCTACAATTAACTGGAGCCAGCATAGGTTTCTCAGACACAAGTGATGCCAGACTAATATTACCTCCTTTTTTCGACAAGAGCTACTAATTTAATGGATTGGGCCAAAATGAATAGGATGAAATTTAACAAGGAGAAATGTAAAGTCCTATACCCTGTGTGATGCAGCTATTAAAAAGACAATGTTAACTTGAGATGTATTAGCAGGAGCACAAAACCTGATCATAAGAAATAATTGTCCCACTCTACTCTGCTTTAGTTGGGTCCCATTTGGAATACCGTGTCCAGTTTGGGGCCACAGTCTAAACAGAACATCGGCAAACTGGAGCAAGTTCAGAGGAGGGCTACCAAGATGGTGAGAAAAGGGACTGAATACTCTCCTATGAAGAACCATTAAAGAAATTGAGTGTGATTTGTCTGCAGATGGGAGATATGACAGCACTCTTCACATAGCTGAGGGTTGTTATACAGAGGAGGGAATGAGCTTGTTCTCTGCTGCCTTGGAGGACAAGGCTACAATATTTCCCTTTCTAGAGCTACCAGTTTAATTCCTTGCACCTGCAGTAGAAATATATACCACTGTAATCTGGGCTCTTCTCAATTATTTCATTAAGCTATCTGACTCTTCTCATGTATTCAGTCATAGAAAGGGAACCTGAAAGATGGGGAAGTGCCATGTAATCATATCAGGATGTTTTGTTACAATGTTAAAAAATAGGATTGGATCCAGATTGCTATGAAGATTCTAATTCATCATTAGGTCTTGAGGCATATTTAGGGACAATTTGCACAGTCACCAAAATCAGAAGAACCACTTAATGCAGTTGTAGTGACCACATCTCCATACTTGCTAAGAGCCATCTGGAAAAGAACTGGAAATCCTAAGCGTCTCATGTGGATGACCAGTGTGCTACCAAAATAGTACTCTGTGGTTCTAGCAGAGAAGCATTCCTGGATCTCTAAAAGCACCTGACTCTAAAAGCATCCACTCTAGTTTCTCCTTAGGTATTCCTAGGCAGGAAAGATTATACCAGATTTCCTGTCTGGTCTATGGCTTTGTATGAGTAATAGTGGTCTTGTGGGTCTGTTTATTTGTAGATGCAAGGTTCTGATCTTGGAATAACGTTTGGCTTCTCTTTTCTCTATGGCTCAACCTGTAGTATTAAAACACATGAACAAATTATCTTTGCTGCATAGAAAACTAGCATGGCTGGCTCATTCCTAACAATTAAAAAGTCCCCACAATGCATTTCACTAAGTGAGCATGTCGGGGAAACAATTCACCTTCTCTGCAATATAATAAGATAGATAGACAGACAGACATAATCAGCTTCTTCATTATGACCAAAGCAACTTGGGTCAATCTGTTTGTTTGTGTCAGATTACTTGGTCATCCTAACCTTCCCTTACAGACCAATGCTAGTTTTCAAAATTGTTAACGCATTTCCTCAACAAATAGAAAGCAGGCATTTGGTGCATACTACAACTACCTAATCAGGAGTGCAAAAATAGCTATTAGAAGGCAGTAAATATATACTCTTTGCTGCCATCTAGTGGGCATCTATATCTTTGCAACCCAGATCTGATAGCCTTTTACTAGAAATTGCCCCCACAGATTAATACTATAAGTATATGTTTGTTATGTTAAGAAAATAAAGATCAGAAAGAGAGAGAATAAGAGATACAAATAAGGATATGATTATTCATTCTCTGAAGGAATTATGGAATTTCTCCTTCACACACTTAAACCTTTCTCAGAATACGAAAGAGAGAAGGTGTAAGAGGAAACATAAACATATTAATGGATGTCCTAGTACATAAGCAAATTTCTCTTCTTGGGATAAGTAGGAACACAGTATTTACAATTTCAAACATATTTTCAAATTTGGTATTTTGCAATCCACCAAACATTTCACTTACTTCTTACATACCATATACTTCTCCTGGTACTAAATATTTCTTTCTATATATAACCTGAACTTCTACAAGTAACTATTTGGCATATTTTAAAAAGCTCATCGAATAGGCATCTGGCTCAGATGAATGAATAAGGATTCATTCATCCTTGAAGCAAAAGGACAGTATCAATAAGCTTCTAGAAAGCCAGGTATTAGAAATTTGGAAGATACAGCTGGCCTTCCCTCATTTTTAGGAAGATATTCAATGGATTAAAAAGCAAACTGGATCCATGGACGTAAACATTTGATTATAACCATTAAAGTAACAGATACATGGTATAAGTATCACTCTGCACAGAAATTACAACAAAGTTGTTTTAATCTTCCAAAGTTGAACCTAGTTCAGTGAGTAGATGATACGTTTTGCAGACAGGCCTCATTCAGACATAACACTAAGCAACAGACCCAGTTACTGTGTTACACAATGATATGGTTTATGGCTGAACATATTGTGTGGATCCAGATACTGTAGTCTATAATCCATAGTTTATAGTTGAATGTGTTATGTAAACTTTGCCAACTGTAGTTTATTCAAGTAACTGTAGTTGATATACCATATTTTAATACTATAGTATACATATGCTATAAATAGATCTCTATGGTATTTTTGTGATGTGTGAACCCACATATTATGGCTTAGAATTATGTGTGAAACACTATGGCTTGTTCAATAAACCAAGGTTAAAATTTGGTTTAACATAATGTGTAAACCAGGTTATATGGGTATCCTTTAAGGCCATCAAGCCAAATTGTATGCAAAATACAACTAGAATATCACTAAGAGGTGACCAGAAAGTGTCCCTAGTAAAGCCAAACTCACCATTGCCCACAGCAGACTGTTTCAGTGTCAAAACTCTTATCATTACAGATTTATCCTAATATTTAGACAAATATGTTTCCTTTATTACAGTTCCTTTTAATTCAAAAATTATTTTTTTGAATTATGAAAATTATTTCATTTCAAGATGTTCTAATGACCAATAACCTGGCAAACTGGTTCCATGGACGTATAACTGCATAATTTTGATTACTTCTCATATTGTGTGAAAGTAAGAAATTTGACAATTAGTTTCTACTGTGTAATCTTTTATCAGCAATTCTATTCTAATAGTACAAGATTCCAAAGGTCCTAGATATTTAGGAGGTAGAAATTTGAAGACATCTAATTACTGACTTATGGATATAAGCAGTAAATGCCCAGGGGATATCAAAATATATACCTTAAGATTCTCTGGTAAACTCTGAAACAGAATTAAATGGATTTATGGGCTAAGAAAAAAACTGTCAGTCTAAATAGAAAGCAAGAACGTAAGTAAAACATTGTTCATTGATCATGGTATATGGTTGTTTAATTATGGTCTGTTGAATAAATGATAAATGGCAGGGTTTGCACAATAAATTTAGCCATAGACTATTATATACAATACACAATGTATACAAAACACAATGGATGAAGCCAATACAAAAACAAACAATACTATTTCTTTGTGCCATGTAAATCCAGTTATTATGTTAAAGGATTTTGCTCTCATCAATAGCTATTATGTTCTTAAGCTGTTGGTTTAAGAATGGAAGATTTGGGGAGATCTCTGATGCTATATTCCAGCTGATTTTCTTCCAGGGTACAAAGTACTTTCTTAATTTCCCATATATACTATTTAGCACATGGCAATAGATGCACAAATTCTCTATCTCCTGCTTTTACTTAACAATCTTCCAGAAATGAACATTCTTCAGTTGAGTTCTGGCTCCTCTTCTATATAAATCTAAGACTCTCACCAACAGAATGAGAATGAGTGGACTTCTGCGTGTATCTTACATTTTGCATGGCATCCTGATACTGCGGCAATGACGACAGCTGAGACTCAGAGTGGTATGGGGATAACCCTTTCCTAAGGGTCCTCAGATCCCCAGAGCTTGATTGCTGAAAAAAGAGAGACAGAGATAAAGCAGGATTTTCTATTTAGCTCCAAGTAAAACATGAAACTTAATTCCATTATATTTTCTTCTTTGGTTTCTACTCCATCATCTAATACATCTTGTTCAGTGGCGTGCACTGCATGTTTACTTTTGGACTGTATATAGTGCTGGACTCTATTAGCTGGAAGACATCAGCTATAGAATGGGAAGGGAGGCAATATTCCCTTATTCTATCTCTCTGCGGGCCTCAGTACCAAACATCTCTGAAGGCTTAAGGGAGGAAATTTGGGAGAAGGACTGAACAGTGGAGAAGGAATTATGATATCCTGCTGGCAACAGCTTTCTGTTGATGGTAGTGAGAATACTGTAACTAGATTCCACACAATCAGAAAAACTATATTTAAATCAAGGGTTGGGGAGAAAAAACTATTTTAATTAATGTAAGTATTTTCTAAAACTTAGGAAATAGTTTTCAAGTCATTAAAATGCTGTTCTTCACTGTTATTTCTCTTGATCTTCCATGTGAAATTATATTTTTGGAAGTAATTTGACACAAAACACATAACAATATACAGGCTATATATTTTTGCATGTCTGTTGTGCTTTGAGAGTAGGATTTATCTTATGATTTGAAAATTCTGAAAACAATATAAAATTAGGTACATATTTTTAGCAAATTAATAATGATAAACAGTTGGGCAATTTAGAAATAAGTTTTGGAATGCATCCATTATCCATTCCTAGTCTATTACCAACACTCAATCAATAAACTGCTTTTAAATATTGACTTATCATTAGCTGAATCCCAGATAAATTCACATGGTCACTTATTTGGATGTGGAAATTACAAACATATACACATACACACACAGCCACTAAACAAATATATGACATGTCAGAGAAACAGTTGTCATTGCAATGTTACAGATTATGCCTTCTACATTGTAAGACACATTTGGGTATATGTTTGCTCTCCCTCTCTTTTACCTTTAGACCTCAACCAGGATTTAGTACTAGATCCACTCAAATTTTTAACAATAACTAGACAATCTCTTAACACAATTTATAATCCCACTTCAAAATTTTATTAAAATGATAGCTCTGAGACTTCCCCCAGAATTTTTAGGAACATTTGGTTTATTATGATGTGTGAATCCAATCTTTATGTTAATCCTTTAATATTGTTTATGTCATGTATCCACATGCTTCTGCTTATTCCTTCCACACAGGACAGGAATAAACTTTTGGATGGTGGGGGGGACACATCTGTCAGTTTGAGATTGTGGTGGAATACTCAAAAAGTAGCTGCTCTGGGAGATGTCTGTTTAAAAAATGGCAGATAAAAGGGTATGGCCAGTCACAACCTATCAGGATGTTCTTTACTGTTCCAGGGAGACCTTTATGATACTAGAAGCTGATACTTGCTTTTCAACGCACCAGTTCCCTATCTGTCTAAAGTCAGATGGAGCAGGAAGGCTTGTAGGCTGCAGGTACCAAGGTAGGTGTTTGCTGGCATAGATGTACTCATGAGCACCACACTGTCTATTTTTGGCATATGACACTTCTTGTTTTTTCATCTTAGGGCCATTTCCATTTTCCAAGTATAGTAAATGTCAAAGGATATGGAAAGAAAAGTCTTTGACAACAATGATAATGCCATTTTTGATATCATTTATATTATTTTTGCTCCCTGTAAATGACAAACATTACAGAAGAAGCAGGATAGAAGAGTATTGACACTTTTGAACTTGCTGTTGGAGAAGACTCCTGAGAATACCATGGCCAGCCAAGAAAACAAATCAATGGATCATTGAACAAATCAACCCAGAGTTCTCACTTGAGGCATAAATGACCAGGCTCAAATTATCCTACTTTGGACATATTATGTGAAGACCTAGGTCTCCAGAAATAGTTCTAATGCTGGGAAAGGTAGAAGGAAAGAGAAGAAGAGAACAACCATCAGCAAGGTGGATACAGATCTTTATCAGGCCTAGCTGAAAGAATGCTATGATTTCTATTTCACTTAACGGTGCAGGCTAAGCAAGAAATATAAAAGGAAATTTAATCAGAATAAGATTTTTTTTTCCTGGTCTACCTTCCTTTTGGACTGCTACATCTTGACTTATAGCTCAAATTAAAATATAGGTATTTTAGGAACTATCCTTAAAAAGCTTGAAGAACAGGCCTTCCCACCCTATGTTAATACAACATGAGAGTTTAAATGTATATGGTGTTGTCTACTTGTTCTTATCATTTTCTCAGGCTTCCATAGTCTGTGCTTAGGCTCCAACCTGAGCTGGGACTTAAGTGTTGAGAGAAACTTTACTATGCATTGATACATGTAAATGATGGTTCCATTCAGGACACCCATCATGACTCAATAATAGGCCCATGCATGAACTCTACTCAGTTCATTGCTTGGTTGCTGTATGAGTTGCCAAGTTTTTATTATACAATTAAACTCTTATTTAAATGTAATTATAATCCTTATGCTATATCCAATATTACATGAGCAGGTTTCTAGTCTCATACTGCATTCTTCCTATCTTCTTCCTTCCCTTTCCCTTCCTCCAGAGTCCCAAAATCACCACAGTGCCTTAACTTTCCAGAGCAACTTTGGGAGGGTCTAGGAACTTTAAAGAGGATGTGCAGTTGGATTTCACTCATTATGTCATATCAGATGATGTTAATTATTGTTATGACAATATTATTCCATTTAAATAATGCAATTATATGTTTAATTAATTAAATGGGCTGGTTTCTATCTATATATTACTAAAACTCCTTCAACTGGGTGAAACAAGGCATCATGGGGCAACAGTTTTTGAACCAATGTACCTCAAATGGGCTAACTTACAGAATGTGTTCAAAATATAGGACCCATTACTCCCATGGGATTGAAATTTGGGAAATGTGTGGCCGCTTCAGCACTGCTGCATTGCAATGCCACTGCGGTCAGCCCAGGTCACATGATCATTATAGGTGTATCCCTGACCTCTATCCTAACTCCCTTTGTCCCCTGCACCCAATCAGCTGGCAGCAAGGCCCGAAAGGTGAGCAGTGATTGGCTGCTTTGGAAATGAGGCAGAAATTTGAAATCTTGTAATGGCAGTGGGCATTGAGGGAGTGACTTGATGCCTTCTGGTGAGGTAGGGCTGGCTGGGGGGCATCAGTGGTTGATGGGTGAGCCCTCTTCCTCCCTCGAGTGGGTTCTTGGGGACACTCTGGAATGGGAGCAGGGGTACAGTTTTCTTCATGGTCAGCAGCCCCCTTTGTTCCACCTCCACACAGCAGTGTAGCAGGCAGTTCCATGGGTCAGTCGAGGAGGAGAAGCAGAAAGCTTCACCTGGGCTCATCTGAGGGTTGTAAGGAGAGGGCAAATAGAGCAAGCCTATATGGTAGGTAGGTAGGTAGGTAGGTAGGTAGGAAAGAAGGAAAGAAGGAAAGAAGGAAGCCAGCCAGCCAGCCAGCCAGCCACAGCCACCTACCTTCTGGCCCCTGCGCCCAATCGGCTGGCAGCAAGGCCCAACTGGTGAACGACGATTGGCTGCTTTGGAACCAAAGCCAAAAACTGAAATCTCTTTAACAGTGGTGGGCATTATGCATGGAGAGAAAGAAATCCGGCAAATAAACAATATACTTTTTATTCAGACAGACATGCATCTTGGTCTAGAATTGATATGGTATGGATGTCAGCAGACTTATTTGCTAACATTCGAGAAAT